TGAGAGACGCGGCGGAACCTCTGGGTGAGCAGGGAGGACCCAGCCGAGGCTGCAGCACGTATTCACGCTGCTTCCAGTTTATCCCGTTACTGTGGGTTTCTTCTTCTCTCCCTCCTTCACGTGTCACCGCCATTAAAACCCCATCGAGCTGTTTCACACCCCCTGGAACGGGTATTCCATAAAAAATAGATTAAGGACCTTCGTACATTGTTGGAACGTACAGTGGTGCAGCCCCTTTGGAAAACCACTTGGCAGTTTCTTAAAATGTTAAACATACATTTACCATATGACCGAGCAATTCTATTCTTAGGAATCTTCTCAAGACAAATAAAAACAGTTATCCACACAAAGATCTGCAAATGATCCGAGTGGCGTTATTCACGATGGCTAAAAATTGCAAACAACGTAACGTGCTACTGCGTGGACGCGCTCGGGAGCACGCTCAGTGAAGGAAGCCGGACACCCTAAGAGACCTGATTGTATGATTCTGTCAGTATGAAATGAGCCAGAGACAACAGAGCTAGAGACAGAAGTGGCTGTGTGGTTTCCTGAGGTGGGAGAGGAGAGGACAGGGACTGCCAATGGGTGGGAGGGGCCGATGGAGTGATGAAATGTTCTAGAACAGGTGCTGATTGTACAACTCCGTAAATCTAGGATTGAATTGTGTGCTTGGAGAGGGTGATTTTCACGATGGGCAAAATATGCCTCAGTAACATTATTTTTTTTAAGTTTATTTTGAGAGCGTGTGAGCAGGGGAGGGGCCGAGAGGGAGAAAGAGAGAATCCCAAACAGCCTGCGCTGTCAGCGCAGAGCCCCATACGGGGCTCGAACTCACAAACTCTGAGATCATGACCTGAGGCGAGATCAAGCGTAGGACGCTCAACCGACTGGACGAACCACCCAGGCGCCCCACCGGTGATGTTATTTTTGAAACAGAAAGAAGAGTTCTTAGGAAAGTGGTGTGGGGTTCACTGCCCGAAGGACACGTTGGTGTTTTGGCGGCCGCTAGGATGAAAGAACGAAGGGGCGAGTGAGTGGGGGTCTGGGAAGCGAGTAGGGCCTGAAGTGCGAAGGTGAGGGGGTCCGTGGGTGGGCGGCGCGGGGGACAGAGAAGGTGAAGTTCCACCGTGTTGGAGAACCGCCCGGGTGAGTGGGGATCAGAAAGGCCCTGAGGTGCGCGGACTTTAATTAAAGATGGTTTGGTCGGAGCAGGAGTGTGCACGTGGAGGGGGTAGGGAGAAAGGGAAGGAGACCCTGGGGGCCTTCCTGAACTTTGCACCTGCTTCAGAGGGGGGGTGTGGGGTTAACTAGAGCGTCTGCACCCGGGTTTCCACACCAGCTAGGCTACCCGCTGTGGCTGTGGCTCTGGCTCTGGGCTGTCTACCTAGAGGCTCGCTTTGAGGATTGAACGAGATGACGTAGGCAGAGCGCCTCAACCTCTCCTTGGTGGGTCCTAAATAAATAACTGCATGTGTCATTGTGAGAGTAGTTGAGGAAGAGAATTGTAGGACTTTTTACTGCCTAACAGCCCGAAAGCGTCGTGCCTAAAGGACGACGTGTGTAAACACGCGTTAACCTCTCCTGGCTCCTGGGGGTCAGGACCTGAGGGTGGCGCGGTTGAATGGTTGTGGCCGGGGCCTCTCAGGAGGTTGGGGCCGGAGGGTTTGCCCCCGGGGCAGTGCAGCCCCGCTCGCACGCTGGCCCCGGGCCCCGGTTTTATCCCTCACGGGCCTCTCCTCGCTGCCGCGGGATTGCCCTCGGAACGGGCTTTGGCTTCCCCCGGAGTGAGTCCGGGAGAGCAAGGCCGAGGCTGGAGCACTTTCGTAGGTGGCCTTTGAAGTCCGTGCTGTCGCCTCCGCCACGCTCTGCCGCTCACACAACAGCCGGTCTCCGGTGTGGAAGGTGGCGCGACAGTGGATGCCGGCGGGGGGGGGGGGGGGGGGGGAGATCCTAGTACCGTCTTGGGGACCAGCTGGAAGTGAGGCCGGAGAGAAATGAGCATTTGTTTCTGTCGGAGGGACGGGTCGGATGCGCCTGTCTTTCTCACAGTCGGCCGCTGGTACTTACTACAGATTCAGGCAGATTTGCAAGTTAGTGCTTGTTAGTGACAATTGTCCAGTTGATGTTTGTGACTCCTTTTGTTTTTAAAGCACTCTTACTTGACAGCTGCTTTTAAATTTAATGTTAACGTTCAAATGATGAACGATGAATCAAAAACCTGGAGGTCGCTAAGATCATGACTAAACAGTAGCCCCTTGCTCCGCCCTCCATTTCTGCTCTGCAGAGATCTTTCGTTCCCATGGTTATTTCTCACGATGATCTCCTCCGCGTTACTGAATCGCCTTGCTTATATAGCTGTTTTCTTTTTCTTTTTTTTCTAAAGTTTTTTTTTTTTTTTA